TCTATGAATCAAATCCAGATTGTGCAGCAAGCTGCTAGCCAAGATAGGGACTTGGTTGGGAGCAAGCTGGCTGAAGCCAAATTTAGTTAAATGCCATAGGTTGGGGAAAGCATCTTTAAGATAAGGAAAGAGGGTGTTTGCCTCCCCTATTGAAGAGTTTGGTCACCTTTGTCCAGGGAGGACCTCACTATCATTACTGGCTCATAGCATATAGACGGACATGCCATAGTCAGTTCATATAGAACCAGAGCAGTCTCCAAAATCAAGACATTTAAGCCCTACACCTTTGCTCATGATAGTTCTCCAGGAAAAGGTATTTTTCTTTTTAGTATGTATGATGCTTCTTGCACTAGCAGCCATGAGGAGAGTGACATATTAATTGCTATGCTGAGCCTGTGCCACTAAGGAATCATTGGGGTGGTCCTCTCATTGCTGGTTATGTGGGTTTAGGACACAAAGTGAAGAGTCACCAAGTGGTTGAACTGCACTGGAGGATTTGTACCAGTGTATTTATATAAATCTTACTGATTTATATAAAAGAACAAAACACCTTTTCATTAGGCCTTGATTATATCTAGTTATTCCATTGCTTATTGGTGATGCAAAAACCTCCAAATGTTCGGTCCGAATAAGCTTCCAGAAGTTTAGATACTTATCTGAACAACTCTGAAAATCTAGAAATTGAGCTCTGAATTACCTAAATAAATGGCCTGCTCTTTGATTGCAGGTTTCAGGGACATCCCTCCCAGGAGTCTGCTAATGGCAGTTTCCCAGTTCTAGTCACTTAGCTCCCTTCCTAGAGCAATAGCCCCAGAGTTGCCTCCCTGAGCACCTGGCCACTTTCTTGTGGTGAGTCCTTAGAGTGTTAGCTCCTCTCTACAATAGCTTCTTTCCCAGGTGCAGCCTGTTCCAACCACTCTCCTCTTTGCCTGGCCTCTAGAGCCCTGAATAGGTGCAGGTGTAGCCCAGCCCCTTTTAATTGGCTGGATTCAGCTCATCTGCTGTGATACAGGGGAGCTGGGCCCAGTCTACTCACAGGGACCAGCTACCCAGTGACAGGTCTGTCTGTAGGCACACTCTCTGAGTGTGGACCCAGGGTCTAACACTACCTTCTGAGAACTGGAACTCACTGTCCAGATACCTATGCCTTCTAGGCTCAGCACTTCAGATTTCCCCGCACTTACACGTACCCTTTCCCAGAACTCCATCCCAAAGGTGTGACGCTTCCAGTTCACTGTTTAACTCTCTCCAGAGGCAAACAGTAGATTGTGAACCATTTAACATAGAGATACTTTGCACAGAATCAGAAGTATCACTGCTCTTTTAGTTAATCATATAAAAGCACAAGAAAGTACAGATCAATTAGAAAACAACAAACATCCTAAAAGCAGTGCCCCTTTCTAGATCACCCTCCGTTGGGGATCATCTGGGCTCAGGAAGGCAAGCAGGGCTTCCTGCCTCATACAGCCTGTACGTACTGAATGCTTCTCTCTCCTCCACAGCTGGAGGCAAAATGGTCAAAAATCCCAGATAGGTCAATTCCTCCCTATTTATACCTTTCGTTCCCTTTGTCAGGTATTGTCCTTCCAGCCTCTCCACATGATCAGAAACCCCTGCCAGGTGATTTTGTTGCCAAGGTGACCTCTCCTCTGCTAAATCAATTTTGCTAGTTGGGAGCCAGTTTAGAGTGTTACATTTCAGTGGTTGAGCATTTTATATCAACAGCCCTCTTTTGTTATTCTTTTGCCACCAGCCTTTGGAATTTCAGGACAACATGGAAGTAAACAGACCACAGAGAAGGCAAAAGGCTGCACATTCAAATGGTGTTTGCATCTTGGTAAAGATACAGAATTCATAACCTCACACAGGATACATAAATTGTACAGAGATTCCCAAATTGTTGTCATTGCCATTCATTATTTTGTATACAAAAAGTGTATAGATTATTTTAATCAGCATAGGAACAGAAACAATCAGAACAATCAGATCCATGGTGACTACAACAGACCTAGTAAACGTTTATGGAAAAATGGTCACAAGTCCTTTTTCTACATATATTATCCAACCTGTTAACTTTTTCCTCACATACAGATTAACATCTATAAACTGCACAGAAAACAAACAGTTTGTTTAAAAATATACAACAACAATTATTCCTGGCCCCATTGAAGTCACTGGCAAAACTCTTATTGACTTCAGAGTGGTTAGGATATCACCCCAAGAAAATACATCTCCTTTACCCTCACTTTTTATAAATATTAACTAGAAGATATCAACAAACAGCGACTGGTCCTTTCCAACTGTTATTAGTCTTTGTGATACATTTATTAACTGGGCTACAAGACTTTCTATGGTTCCCAAGTCATCTATGCTTTCAATGATCATGGTTCCTACTATTTTAGTAAAGGCACCTGACAAAGAATTACTACAACTACTAAGATACTGTAGTTGAGATTCCATTTTGTTCACTAAATAAAGCCATTTATGGAATAGTCCACCATATGCAAACCATTCTGATGTGTACACATTTGTTAATGAGTACGTAAACTTTGTCTATAGTGATAACACTTGCGTATTCATTTTTTAGCTAGACAAATTGATACCCACTGCTCAACATGTTCTTAGAATTCAGTCTTTTTCAGGTTTCTATATAATACACCACACATCTTTGCACACAAGTTCACTTTGCATTCCAACAAACCTTTATGGAAACTAAACTGCGTGAGTCAAACTGTATTGTCAAATCCAATTCCCAGTCCTCCCGTATTCTTATCTCAAAGGCATATAGAAGGCTATGAAATTAGCAGTACAAAAATCAATTATGATTTCAACTTCACGATACAGTGTTGTAGCTGAACTTCTAATGGGTCATTATGGAGCGTAAAGAATCACATTTTTCTGAATTACTGACATATGCTGCGGAGAAATTCAGAAAACAATATACTTTTCTAGTTTTATTCAAACAAAACAGGAGTTATCAAAAGAAGTTTTTGCTTAATAGAGGAAGATGCATTTATTATTTGAAAAATGCTAAACATATTCAGGAAAATATTTAAACAGTACCTGATGAAGATATCAGTGTCCCGGTGAAAGTAATTAAAGAACGCTACACTTTCCATGTGAAACAAAACTGGTGAATTTGGCGATTTTTTTAAATTTGAGAAATCTAAAAGGTTACCATTGACAAGTGCAAACTTCTTCTTTCTCCAGCTAGATCATTACAATCTACCGAGCATAAGCATTAGCACCTTACTGCATCGTCCCTGGAGCAGCGCAGGAGAGAGACCGACTCAGAAAGTCACAAGCTGCTTCCCAGCCTCCCAGCTGCTCCAGGAAGGAAGTACCTGAGCCAAGTCTATATTCGGTGCTGCGTCCTTCCATTAGTGTGGCCATGTAGTTATACTGGCCGGCACATTGAAGGGGGAGGGATGTGACGTTTCATCCTACCCTTTTCCACCTGCCTGTCCAGTGGAGAAAACAATACTCTGAGGACCCTGCTTCACCCTACTCCATTGTGCAACCCAGGCCAATATTTGAAGCAAAACTTGGGATGCAGCAGAAAATAAATCAAAAAGGAGACAATCATCCCTGTGCAGGTGGCTAGCAGAAGGCCTTTGCAGCACTTCACTTCTATTTTAAGTAGTTTGGTAGTGCAGAGGCCTCATGCAGGCACACTATACAAGATGAGTTTCGCCCAAGGTGTTGATAACTTGTAATAGCATCTTTGTGAATACAGCCTACTCCCCTATCATCTGCAGTTTTCCTTTCATACTGCCATCAGAGTGCTTTGAAGAGGGTTGGAGCTTTTATAGCAAGATGGGATGACTGCAAAAGAAAGTTCTTGAAATTAGAAAAGGTAACGTGTGTTCTCTTTTTCTTCTGGAGGGATGCTCAAAGAAGAGTAGAGGGGATAGGAATAGGAATAAATGGCTAGTACTTTAAAACTTCTATTGCATTTTAGACTGCACCCAATTAGTGTAAAAATGCAGAAAGATGCTTTACGTTGTAGAAAGGATTTGGTGCCTGACTTGCTTTTCTGGGAGTTGGCAAGAGGCTTTTGCCAGAGCCCAGAAAACAGAATCCAAGATTGAAAGAAAAGAGAATCAAACAAAAAACATGGAGAAAAACCAAACAGTTTTTCCCAGTGCACTGACTAGTGCTACTCAAGGTCACAAGACTGAGAAACAGAAGAATATAAACATGTGGAACATGACAGAAAGGAGGCATATTATATCTGGCTTCAAAACCAAGAACAACATAACTTTCATTTTTCTAAATAATAAGAAAGCAAAGCAGTCTTTATGAGTCACTTCAGAGATGAGAAAAGATTAATCTCAGCAGGAACCTTTTCCTTAATATCTTTTTTAGCACCGATAAGTAGCACAGATGGTTCAAGAGGCAATGGGTCAGATCATGGGGGTTGAGCCCTGGAGAGCATGGGAGAAGGACGCACAGGGGAGATAAAAGTGGCCTTTGCAGTTTCTGATTTGAAGCCTTTTGCGCCATTGGCCCCTTGTAAGCAAATGTCCCTATGGTGAGAATAAAGGGATAAATACAGTGCAAAAAATCCTGATTCCTTTCCTCTGTCCACACCCACTGCACCAGCCGGGAGGGGTGTGGCAGCCTGTATGCCTCTAACACTGGTGCAAAGCTGCTGCACCACACTGGCCCATTATTATTATTACCTTCATGCTTCTAACCATTAAGTCTAAAGCAAGCAAAAAATTCCATGATGTGTTGGAACTTCATATTTACAAATGTCACCTACTTAAGGTTCTTAAAAAATTACCTGGTCCTTGAAATCAATGAAGCTTCATGTAATCTCCAGTTCAGCATCAGGGTTTATAACTGTGGAACTCATTGCTGCAATATAGAAGTGAGGTAATTAACTTAGTAAGAGCTTTAAAAGATGTTATAAATAATAATGGCTATTTTATTACATTACATTAGATAGGGAAACAGTAAAAAGAACTAGTAAGTCTCATGCTTTAGAGCTTAAATCCCTTGTTATAGCAAAACAGAACCGGCCAGGTATGTGTGATACGGGCCACTACAGGAGACTGAACTAGATGAACCCTTGTCTATTGTGTGATGGGAAACAATATCTTCATACGTCAGTATTTAGAGATTCCTGTGCTGTCTTTGGCTTTTTGAAGAGTCACAGTATTTACTGAAGTGCAATAGCAACTATGCTCCCTGTCCTTCCCTTTACCCAGAGGTGCTGGAACTAAGGGTGCTGGGGGTACTGCCGCACCCCAGGGCTTGAAGTGGTTTCTATCATATACAGGGTTTAAAGTTTGGGTCAATGGCTCCCAACACCCCCACTATAAAAATTGTTCCAGTACCCCTGCCTTTACCATCACCCCTCCAAAATATATATAAAAAAGACAGCTATGATAGTAACAAAGGACATAGATTAAGATCTACAAATTATATCCAGATTATGCATCATATTCATGTGTAATCATATGACAGACACAACAGGGTGGATTTAATGTACAATAACCCAAAGTATAACAGTTCATTCAGCCTAAGCAAAGGCTGAGAGCATTAGAAATCTGAAGGCTTGGAAGAATTATCTGCTTTGTTTTTAAAAACACATTTAAAAGTGAAGAGACTAACAAATTGAATCTGTTATATCTGATGACATTCCTGGGCATTGATTCAAACTCTAAATTTAATTTCAATAAAGCCCTAGTCAAAGTAATGCCTTCCCTGGATTCAAAGCCATTTGACTCACACATTATCTACTGAAGACAATAAAAAGTAACTTAACTAAACAAGGTTTCTGTGAACATGTCTTCATATTTAAGGTATATGAATATGCATGTTAAAGAGGTTTGCTATAACATTCCAGGACACTTCATGTAATTTAATATTAAGGTACTCTATGTCCTTAAAAAAGAATAGACTTGAGATTCCTTTGTAACACAATTTATTCTATTCGATATATGAATGCCGTATGCACCATTGGCAATTTCTGATATATATAAATTATGAAGGAACATTTTTCTTTTAATTTAAGGGATCTGTACGATCTAGTGCAGTGGTAGATACCTGCATTAGACTCCTTCCCGCAGCTCCCATTGGCCAGGAACGGTGAACCGTGGCCACTGGGAGCCACCAGCAGCTATGTCTGTGGAAGGTTGATGTAAACAAACTGTCTTGCGGCCCACCAGCAGTTTACCCTGGCAGACCACATGAGGCCCTTGGGCTGCAGGTTGCCCACCACTGATCTAGTGGTTAAAGCACAGACCTGGGAAACTGGAGATCTGAGTTATATTTTGGCCTCTGCCACAGATGCTGTGACCTTAGGCAAGTTTTTTAATTTGTGACAAAGCTATCAGGAGTATTAGATAGAAGTTAGTTATATATCAATAGAAACTGGAAGAGATAAACAGTATACAACTTATCCAAAGCTCCTGAATTTGTGAAATTTCACTGGAAGCATCATGAGAGCAGGCTTTCTTGTAAGATTTCTGGCACTTCCAGTTCTGTACAGAAAGATGAAATGAAAGCACACTTAGCTTGGAGATTTGATTTGAGTTTAGTGAAGATTTTGAAAGGTGCCTCCAAAATTGCAAGCACACCCATTTGCAAAATCCACTATTTGCAAGGCCAAACTTGTATTTGCTTAGGCATTCAGACACTTTTAAATGGGTGCCTGCATGCAAGGGGCCCATTTAGCCTGATGAATGCAATTTTTTTATATTTACTTTTATTTCCATCTATTAAAAAAAAGCACCCGAGACTATAGGTGCCTTTGAATCAATCATTACGTAGCTAAATATAAAAAATAACTTCAAGAAAAGAAAAATGAAGTAATTCCCCAAAGCATATGAAAATAAAATTCTTCCCTGCATCCCAGCCCATATCCCAGTCTGCCCAAACTTTCCTTTGGCCTTCCCATCAGAACAGAGCTCCATATCAGAATATCCCATAGCTCACTCTTCTGAGAGATGGGACAGCCCCTGCTCAAAGCCCCCACCCCCACACTAGGCAAAGGGGAGAACTGAGTTCAGGTCATCCCCATCCCAGCTGAGTTCTCTAATCATTGGGCTACAAGTTATAAGGTGGGCACCACTTCTTCCTCCTTTGTCCAGATTTTCAATGAGACACAAGCCAGTAGGCAGCCTCTGTGCATACCTACTGGATCGGGCCCTGCAGGCCAGATAGGCAGGGGAAGGTGCAACTCTCCCGTTTGTGGATTGTGCAAGGGCATATGCAGGAGATAGATGGCCAGGCTCCTAGAAGGCACATGTCCACTGTGCGTGCCTAGAGGCAGAAATTTAGGCACCTAGGAACTTTTAGAATGAAAATGTAGGTGCTCAATGAGTTTAGGCACCCACAGGATTAGACAGCAGCCAAGTGGTGTACTTAGATGCCTAAGCACATTTGTGGATCTGGGCCCAAGCACCTAAGGTGATTTCAACTGCAGCAATATCACTCAGGCAGCCACCAGGAGCAAAACTGGCCAGGGCCCTCAGGGCAAGTAGTTGAGGTAAGAAGAGAACAATACCATTACATCCTTGATTAACTGAATATCGCAAATGTATTACTTATATTGCTCCTTGCAAACACATCTGAGTAGTTAAAATATGTTTACAATCACAAATGGATATTATAGAAAATCTAAAGGATATAAAATAGAAACAGTAGCATTCCCCACCTGCCTCCCACCCACCATAGGACATGAATAAACCTGAAAACTATTTTACTATCAAAGCTTCTAGGCTTTTGTTTTGAAAAAATATAACTCTGAGAAAGCAAACAAGAACAATTACTTGTTGCAGCAAAATAAATGCCCTCTATCATGAGTGCTGCCTCTGAAACTTATCATCAGATAAAAACATCGTCAGCAATCCAGCCATCCATACAGAGTCTATCTTTATGCTCCAGTACATTTCTTCACAGCCTCCCTCTCCCACTTCTTAATAAACCAAGCGGGCGGGGGGGGGGGGGAGGGGAGTTGAGGAGGGGGAGCACTTCTCTTCAGTCATGCCCTCTGCCAGCAGCAGCACTAATGGGCTTTTATTAAATATATGTTTTATATTTCCTCATAAAGAGATTGGGAAAGTTAACATCAATAATTTTCTAACTCAGATTGAACTTCAAAAGCAATCCTGATCTGCCTGTTCAGAATTGTTTTAACTGGGTTATAAGTCTTTGCTGAAGGCAAAAAACACAAGAAAGCCTTCTTTCTTCTAAACTATTTTTCAGATAACAGACCCCAGCCATGTCAGATGTGATACAACTGATTTAATTTGTTTTAAAAAGTTATTCTTTCATGGATTTTAAAATGACAAAATACCCATCTTTTTAAAGAGTTTGCCAGACATTGTTTTTCTGGCAGATCCAAGATTTGTAAGTGTGTCTTGTTACATGATGAAAGCCAGGGGCAGAGCCAAAGGGACAGAATAGTAGGCCATAAATGGACAAGTTAAACAAGGCAGTTAACTTCACTTCCATCCGTAATTTAGATCACGCTGGTACATCTGTTATCCCTAGTTCCGGGCACGAGTTAGGAAACGGTCTTATTTAACTCTTTCCACAATGTGGCTATTTTTATTATCATCCTGTCTCTCTGGAGGAGAAATTCTTTTTCCTAACTTGACTCTTTATAAATATGGTGTGTTTGGGATCAGATAGTCTAGACCAGGAATAGTCAATTATTTTTTGTCAAGGTCCAAATTTCTTGGTCAAGGTACAGACTCCAAATTAAAAACCCGGCAACAATAACGATAGATATAATAAATAATAATAATACTCAAATAAAAAGATTTTGGGGTCCGTTCAAAAGCGTCTGGTGGTCCAGATTTGGCTCATGGTCTGCCTATTGACTACCCTCGATATAAATACAAATATAAGCCAATATGGTTGGTTACAGATGTAGATATGGTATGGGAACTGTGGAAGACAGAACTAATGACTGACCACCTTCTTTGTCCCTTTGGTATGTTGCCATGAGTGAAACAAGGCCTATGCACCACTTATAGTCCACTTCAATCCTAAACTGAAAGCTGCACAAGGGTGAGTTTCACCTAGAAATGGTGGAAAGTGTTTCATTAAAAAAAATAAATAAATAAATAAATAAAAATTAATGAAAAATGTCTTGTCAACCAAAAATTATGGTTTTTTCATGAAAACTTTTAAATTTGGGTCAGAATTTTCTGGTTTTTCATTGAAGTCCCCACATATTTTTAATTTTCAGGGTTTTTTAAACCAAAATATTTCTGTCATTTAAACAGAGATTTCTCTCCGGAAAAACAATATTTTTTTCAAGATTTCCTACACAAAAAAAGCAATTGGCAGTTTTCAAACAGCTCTAGTTTCACCTTGTGTGATCAATAAAATGTCTGATAACATGATGAAAATAGCAGCTCTTGTAATGTTCGTGCAACAAGAATATGTTAAATGAATAAAATGCAAACAAAAAAGGCCTAATCAAAACAAAATATCCATCCAGGCCAACCGGAACTATGAAACAGAATCTTCCCAGACATGCTGAAGAGCTCATATGAAAACAACAGGAAATAGATCAATAAAACAGAAAAACAAAACACTTTTTCTGAGAGCAATAATGCTTAGGTAATTCTTCACAATATTATTCTCACTATCAGTCAATCCCCAATATCCATGATTCAAAATAGAAGAACTACCACAGAGTCTAATATTTCAGTCTGAAGAGAAAGAGCCAGACAAAGCAATCATTGCTCTTGAAATGAGCAGAGTTCCTTATCAAGCTGTGCATTCCAGTCAACAACTGCCCCAGACCGATGTCAGGTATGAATAATAATGACAGACCTACATGACTGCTGGTTACATAAGAGAAATTAAGTCTATTCAACTCTCTCCTTATTACCCTTTTATTTTTGGTGCATTGCATATGACTACGTATAGTGTTTGATCCTGCAGGAAGATGATCTCTCTGGCCCCGAACCAGCAAAGCACTTAAGCACATGAATTTGTTTGTGAGAAGTTAAATGCTCAGTCCAGAAAAAGACTGGTGCAGTTTTGTTGCTTATAATTTTACTTGTATTCGGGGAGAATGTGCAGTGGTTTTAGAATTCCTGGTGCTCCAGAGTTAACAGAGAGATCCAGGCAATGATGCAGCAGGAAGCTTGATAAACATCGGAACTTCCTCAAGGGTTCTCTAGTTGCTGCTTACAGTTTGGCTGTTTGTGTTCATGTCCTCACACAGCAAAGAGTGTCCCCTCTGAATCAAAAAAAAAATGT